TCATACTTTTGAGCATTTTTGCGTTTGTCCTGGCATTCGGTATGCGTATTATGATTGTATAAGTGAATAATTAGATCTAATTTGCAGCAGATGAGCCAACCGAACATCCCAATGCTACACATGTCGAGGAACATGCTCCAGCGGAAGCCGGTAAGTCCGTACTTTCGCCAATTGATCACAGACGGATTTCATTTTAAGGCCAAAAAGCGGAGACTTCGCCCCCACCTTTAGCTCCTAGATACAATGGCGCTGGTGCCGACTCAGGTAAGCTTCAACGTTCTTAAGCTAAACAGAAATCCAAGTCGTGTTCTATAGGTGAGCCATCTGGGGGTGAGCCGATACCCCATGATCCAGTGACAGAAGGCGGCGCGTCATCCTCAAGCCTAAGTGAGTCTTTCGGTGCCCTGTGAGACCCAGACTCATATTTCTCTTTCAGGCAACTTTTTCATCTTGGTCACCTGTAACTTGCTCGTCACCTTCTTGGTGAAACATTTTGCTTGAGTGCGTTATCGACTGTAGAAGTTAGTGTAGCGGAATTCTTTAATAATTAATATATGATTCTGTTCTAATGTTTTTCAATATATCCATGGTAATGTTAAAGAAACTAGATTCTTAAAAGGTTTGGTATTTGTATTGCACAAAAGGTTTTGTAATTCCAGGGGAACGCCAATAGTGCGGTTTAGTGATAATAATAATAGTAATGTACCACGTGGGAATAGATTGCGGTTTTCGCTATTTCCGTATTCGTGGTTTTCTGCTTTTCATTTTGGTTCACAACTGTATCAAAAGGCTTTATCTCGATTCCTATCAATAAAAATGTATAAAGGGTGTGGTCGTATTTTTCAAGGGAAGGTTTTTGGTGTACTCAATTTAAAAGTTTAATCATCAGAAGTAGGATTAAGAATGAGAAATCCATATCCAAAAAATGATTAATCAAAATGGTTTTTGTATGGTACTGCTTATTTTTTAATTAAAATTGTTACTAGGAGATCTTTATCACAATGCGACCAAAGCTCATTGTCAAGAAAAGTCATTTCTGAGTCATGGAGGAAATTAGTTTCCGTATCGAAGTTACTATCAATAACATGGTTTGATAAACCCAGGTGGTTACGACGAATAGATTCGACAAATTTCTGTAGTCTCGTGTGGCAGAATGCAGAAAGAACGTAATTTTTGGAAATATTGGAATAGGATTGCCCTTTCGATGCCGTTAAATAAAAAAATTTCCCTACTGTAGCAGTACGTACGAAACGAACTTTGGAAAAACAGTGGCCGTGTAAAGTCACATTCGGCTCGTGTGTTAGAGAGAGAACGCATGATTTTTCCCAAAAATGGCGGAAGTTACCAGATTCTAGTAACTTTAATGTTAAGGATTGTGCCACCTGTTTGGAGATATCTGTATACAACATGACAGTACTATGAAGTTAGGTTATAAAAAATTACAGCTATTCAGAATTTATTTGTCAATTTTTTTAAGTTGGCAGCAAATTTGCCCAAAAATGGCGGATGATTGCGGTACTTTCTATATCTAGTGGCTTTATGGCCCTGTTTGCAACAGTGCACCCTAATAGGAATTTTACAAACTGACTGACTTCACCTGAGATATACTACATCAGAAACAATTGGTACGATGGGAAAGATGCGAAACACTCTGTATATACAACAATCGTTCTGCGCAGCTGCCGAACATGGGGATTTTTCACGACGAATCTCGCCAGAAAGCAACTGGTAACTGGATCCCGATCCGAGGTCTCGAGTAATGGCGGATTTTTCTCAATGTTTATTTTATTTGCTCTGTTTGAAAAGGTGGTCATTTTATTCCGTCTCGTACTAACCGTTAATGTTTGAATTTCATGCACAATTTCTTATTATTTACGTTTTGGCGTGCTCCAAGTTTCTGTTTGAGTACCGTTATTGAATCATGTTTGTGGGTATGCCTGTATATTATTTTATTAAGTATTTATTTTTGCATTCATGTAAAAGTATATTATAGGTGTGATTTTGTTCTGTACCCCAAGACAGGCTCCCTCGAAACACGCGACGAGGTAGAAGAAGTGACAGAACACACTGAAATGTCAAAGTTTTAAACTATCATCTCTGCGCCGTTAGTTTTGAACGAGAATCTTTAAATAAAACTGACATTTATCATAATTTGACATGACAATGTATATTGATCATACAATCAAACAATTTTTTAGCTCCAATATGGCGGATTATAAGTTTTCGCCTGACGCCTAATACAGTCACAGCTGTAGTGTGAGGTAATTCCTTGGGTAATTCCCATCTCTGTCACAGATGAAAAATTCACCTCAAACCAGATTCGAACTCCCGACCTCCGGATTTATAACCCAACGCTCTACCACCACAAAGAAGAGAAGAACCTACGAAGCTCTGGAACAGCTTAAAACTGTTATAAATTACTCCATGCTCCAGGAAGCACTTCTAAAGCTTGAGCAGAGTTTAAAGTGTCTAAGGCTAAGTCCGTTGGGTAGACTTTAGGAACTTTTCCAAAGAATTGTGAGCCTTTCTTAAAGCTAGCGAACCTCTGGAGCTGTTAACTTGGCTCCCCCCCCACTGAGAGATTTCATAGTCGTATTATTTTGAAATGAATGCGCTCGTTATGCGCTCATATGCGCCACCGATAATAACTCTTGCGCCATTATCGTTTTTTAGAAATCCGAAAAAACATTTGGGGGGGCCAAGTGAACGTAGCCCCCCCCCCCAGTACGTATTTTGTCCCTTGTAACTAGGTCACCTGATACATTTGGTTATGCGCTCAATTGCGCCACTTGAATTAAAGCTAGCGCCATTACGGTTAAGCCGTGACAAATTTTCAAAAAGTGGGGGGGCCAACTTAACGTTTTTAAAAGTTACTTTTTTTTAACATCTTTTCATACGAAATTGTACTCTCAGGTATGCGCTGAAATGCGCCGTAAAAAGATATCTTTGCGCCATTATTGTTTTTTGGTTATCCTTAAATATATTTGGGGGGGGCCAAGTGAACGGAATCCCCCATAACGCATTTTGCTACCGGTATTTGTGCCACTTGATACATCTGGTTATGAGCTCAATTGCGCTACTTGAATTAAAGCTAGCGCCATTACGGTTAAGCCATAAAAAAATTTTAAAAAGGGAGGGGGGCTAACTTAACGTTTTCAAAAGTTACGTTTTTTAACATGTTTTTTCTACTACATCGTACCTTTCATCATGCGCTAAAATGCGCCGTAAACAAAAATCTTGGCGCCATTATAGTGTTTCAGAAACACTATACAGGGTGTTTTTTTGGGAGCTTTAGTTAAACGATTCTGAGAAAGTAAAATAGGTAGGTTTTTAAAAATTTGTATTTAGGAGTTACTCCGAAGGCCGAATCGATGTAAAATATTTTCAAAATGGACGCACTTCCGGAAATAACTTTTGAAAACGCTAAGTTAGACCCTCCACTTTTTAAAAATTTTTTATGGCTTAACCGTAATGGCGCTAGCTTTAATTCAAGTGGCGCAATTGAGCTCATAACCAGATGTATCAAGTGGCACAAATACCGGTAGCAAAATGCGTTATGGGGGATTCCGTTCACTTGGCCCCCCCCCAAATATATTTAAGGATAACCAAAAAACAATAATGGCGCAAAGATATCTTTTTACGGCGCATTTCAGCGCATACCTGAGAGTACAATTTCGTATGAAAAGATGTTAAAAAAAAGTAACTTTTAAAAACGTTAAGTTGGCCCCCCCCCCCACTTTTTGAAAATTTGTCACGGCTTAACCGTAATGGCGCTAGCTTTAATTCAAGTGGCGCAATTGAGCGCATAACCAAATGTATCAGGTGACCTAGTTACAAGGGACAAAATACGTACTGGGGGGGGGGGGCTACGTTCACTTGGCCCCCCCCCAAATGTTTTTTCGGATTTCTAAAAAACGATAATGGCGCAAGAGTTATTATCGGTGGCGCATATGAGCGCATAACGAGCGCATCCATTTCAAAATAATACGACTATGAAATCTCTCAGTGGGGGGGCCAAGTTAACGGACCCCTGTAAAGGGTCCATAAACGTTTGAAAAGGATGGACCTTGCGGGAGACTAGCAACCTTCGGTGGGGCCAAGACTTGGAGGCATGGACTTGAGGCACAATTTAGAGCTCTAGACAGCTTTCTGGATATTTCTGGCTAAGGCTAAGTCACGTTTGAATGGAGTAGTCGATTTCTGGCGAAAAGCAAAGGTTATAGTCTTGCCTACAAATTGGGTCGAAAAAATGAATTTGCTTAAATCGACCGGGAAAAGACTTATTCTTACACGGGAAGCTTTCTAACGATTGTAATATTAAATTTTCATTGCGTTCTAAATCTTTTTTTAAGTTTCAGGAACTTTACAGAGCGCCCTTGAGAGTTTCACAATCGTTCTAGGCGCGTCTTCGCAGTGCTTTCGGGTCTATCTACACTTTGCTCGGTTCAAGTAACTCCCGAAAACTGTGCAAAGTAGAAACGCCCAAGGAATCTTCTGCAAAGGCTATGAAGAAACAAAAATTTCTAGAGAGTGGTAGAAACGTTAAGCCTATTTCTACTAATAAATACTTTCCAAAGCGTTCGAAGTCTTCTCAGTCCATCTCCAGAGCAGAGCAGAGTGTCTGAAAAGCTCTGAAAAATGGCGCGCTTAATTAGTTTCTCCTCGACCGCGCACGGCTGTTTTAATCTCCCTACGAAATACGATTTACTCGACGTTAACCGTTCATTACTTTACGAGTTTTTTTTATTACACACTGTTTGTTCTGGTAATCCAAAACCCGAACTAATCTGGCATTAGTGCTCGAAGTAAAAAACCAATAACCGATACAACGCATTGACTATATCGTTGCCCAAGACCGAATGCATCCTAAAAATCTCCCTGTCAGGATCCCTACCATCCTACTTCATTGACTACCGCCCACAAAATGGCTTCTTGTGAGTGAAACACGGTGATTTTTGCTTCGTTTTCGTTTCGACAGGCTCTGGAAACCAAGGACTATCAAAAATGGAAGTTTATTTATTAAAATAATTTATAACGCGGCTTTGCATATTCAACAGTGACACTCTCCGGTTCACCTGCTCCTCTGCACTCAGCGAAAAAAGGCAACTAGGGCAGTAGCGACTCTGTACCATCTTCTACTGTTGGAAGAGTCACAGGCTGGGGCAGCTTAACATACTGTGTCGCTGGCGGTGGGAAATCATTCGAAGGTTTGTACTCCAGCAAGTGCCATATTCTGATAATGAACGCGAGCAGGAGTATCACGAGGATTAGGAGCAGCGCTAAAAGACCTTTGACTTCCAAAGCTTAAGAAAATGCGTCGCTTACCATACACAATGTACTTAAATAGCATCATATCGTGCACTGAAAGAGGAGGTAATAACAAGTGCGGCGTAAACTCTTGGAAACTTACCTTCCCGGTTTATTTTATCGACAGTCGACTCTAAAAAAATGACCGAATTGACAGAAAATGGTAACGCTACAGGGGGCACTTACCCATAGATTGCACAGTGGTAGCTTCGGTAGGCGTAGCGGATTCTGCAACGAAGCCGATTCAAAACAAATTGGTGTTAATTGGATACTCACTCGTGGCATGTTCAGGTGGTTTGGTGGAAATCTCTTTGTCTTTTTCTAAAAGCAACATTTAGTTACTAGTGGGAAAGTGGGTTACTCACCATGGGAGGGCCTCCTAAGATCATTCAGGTTAATGGCGACCCAGTCCTTGCGCGAGGTCTTAGATTCTGACAATGTGAAATTACACTCGTCCCCGTTTTTTTATATAAACTTACCTATCTCCAAGGGGGGTTCGGTCACTATCACTGTTTCTAAAGGTTTCGATTAGTCTAAGATCTTCCAGTATGACGGCTTACCTTGCTCCTTCGGGATGGAATCTCGATTATCCATATAGTCGGCGTAGATGTCATTCAAACCGATGGGAATGCGTCCTATGGGTTCCCCTGCGGCTTACAAATGAAAGAGGGGGGTGATACAGGTCAGATGATTACCTCCAAAGCGATTGAAGAGCATGTTCGGCTCGTGGTGATCAAAAAAGACGTTTTCGTCACTTGGATTTTTGTCGACGGTGTACATGAAGTTGGCGGCTGCAAGAAAAGGGGCGTAATGGGAAGAAATAGAAAGAAATGCTCACCATTTGCATATGATTTATCTTTAGCGGTCACCTCCTCCCCTTGGTTTGGGTTGTCATCAAACTCGTAGTCCTCATACAAGTCTTCAACGTACTCTTCCGTTTTGGTGGTAGTGGTTGAGTCTGAAATGAGGAGGGAGTGTTATTTACACCAGTACCTTCAATTCTTTTTTATTTTCCTTATGGCCCTTATCTTCATCAGCTATTTGCACCACAGTGTTTTCATTTGGAATTCATGTCACTCAGTGACCGTCAAAAAAACCGAAAAAGTTGTATGTAACACTAGTCTATAACATTTGGAAAAAGTACGAATTGATTTGGATTCTACGCACCAAAATTAATATCAAAAAGTGTTTTCCCGAGAAATTTTGGTGCAGTCGATTTTTGGTAAAAATGGAAGGTTATACACTGCCTTTTTTTGAACCCCGAAGAGAAAATTGTCTCAGATCGACCCGGAAAAAAAATTTTCTTATAGAATGTGGCCTGTAGAATCCATAATTTCAAACAGTTCCAAGATTGGGCTACTAGTTCAAAAGTTACAGCCCTTTGAATGTTCTTTCGAAATTGGTTTCTAGTCTATAACTTTTGATTGAGAAGTCTAATCGAAAAAGTACGAATTGTTTTGGATTCTACGCACCAAAAATAATAAGAAAAAGTGTTTTCCCGAGAAATTTTGGTGTAGTCGATTTTTGGTAAAAAAGGAAGGTTATACACTGCCTTTTTTGAGGCCCCAAGAGAAAATTGTCTCAAATCGACCGGAAAAAAACATTTTCTTATAGAATATGACCTGTAGATTCCATAATTTCAAACAGTTCCAAGATTGGACTACTAGATCAAAAGTTACAGCCCTTTGAATTTTTTTTCGAAATTGGTTTCTAGTCTATAACTTTTGATTGAGAAATCTAATCGAAAAAGTACGAATTGTTTTGGATTCTACGCACCAAAATTAATAAGAAAAAGTGTTTTCCCGAGAAATTTTGGTGTAGTCGATTTTTGGTAAAAAAGGAAGGTTATACACTGCTTTTTTTTGGGCCCCGAAAAAAAAATTGTCTCAGATCGACTCGGAAAAAAAATTTTCTCATAGAATGTGGCCTGTAGAATCCATAATTTCGAACAGTTCCAAGATTGGGCTACTAGATCAAAAGTTACAGCCAGGGTTTTTCCATATTACAGTGTCGTTTAAGTTGAAGTTAAGCCCTTGACATTTTTATTCCGTTAATTATACAGGGGGTTGTTCTTCCGTTCCCACTTTGAAAAATAACGACCGTTTAGTTGTTCACCAGTGCCTGGCTGCCCGTTCCCTGGATTTGCCGTTTCCTTTGTCTCCGACACAGTTTCGAAACCGCCGACCATGACCAGATGCAGGGTTCCGAATCTTCTGGTGGCGCTCGAGTTACCGTATCATCCCACCGACTGTTTATTTATTTAATTTTCCACGAAAGAATTTTCTCAAAGTACGTAGAGCGGGCTTTCTTATTGGTATGGGCATATTCTTTTTAAATGAGTTCTTGTAATTTCCTATAATGTGAGATTTCTGATTACGACTACATCGGGAAAATTTTCTCAAGGTTTCCTCGGGCTCAAATTTTCCCTGAGAAAATTTTTCTCATAGTACGAAGTGAGTTTCTTTATATGCATATTTTTTTAGGCAGCCAATTGTTTTCGATTTTAGGATGCTTTAAGTAAGACACATCTGGTCGTTGTGACATGAAGTTCTATCAGGCTTTTATCCTTTATGGTACTGTGAAGAAAGGTCTCAATGAAAGGAATAAGAACAAATTGTCGGAGGAAGATGCTCACAAAGGGCGATTGGGACGTCGGGTGATGTCAAAACTTTAGGAGCGAATATCTCGAAAACGGTTCGTCCGAGGAAAGCACCCACAAATGCAAAAGGAATCATGTGGACGAGTTGAAGCCCTATCCTCATCCCCAAAAACACCAGAGAATGGTACGAAAGTTTTAAAGTAAAATTTCGACGTTGTATCGAAATCTTGCCACAAAATTAAAAAAAAACATGCGACCCAGGACTTCGTAGAAAACAATTTTTCAGTTAGTAAATGCGACGATGAGTAATCTTGTGCTTATTCCACGTTCGAATTTTTGTGTACTTACTCATTTAAGGGTAGTTTGGGCAATCGGCCCATTATGCTCTTCGAGAAAAATTACAATGCGGCTGTGGGGTGGATAAATTAACAACCGTTCATAGTTTTCAATGGTCCTGTGTTATATTGTATCATATTAACTTTCATTTTCTAATGGATTCAAGATGTTCTTGTCAATTTCCCTCTGACAGACGGGATTCGATGAGCAAATCTGAAGAGACCTTCTCCCCGAAGACATAAAGTTATCAAACGCCAACGTTATTCAGTAAATTAATCATTTAATTATGTTTCTCTTAGAAAATTGGATGAGATGGAGCACGTAGTTTAACTCCGAGATTGAATTACTGTCATGCAACAACGTGCATAAAACTGGAACGACATTCTCTAGTTCAAATGAAGTCATTCGGCATTTATGTACGTGCATTCTGCACATGTGCGTATATTTTTTATGGCTTTTAAAGTGTCTCAGCTGCGACGCCGGCCGAGGAGGGATCATGTACTGTTGTCTTAAATCTGCCATAAATAAAAAAAAAACAACATTCGCCGCTCTATTTTATGGGCAGGAAAAATCAATTACCTCTCCCTGCTGGAATGGATGCAGTTGCTCCGGGAATTTTTATTTAAATTTCAAACTCGAGCGTCGATTGCCCGTTTAGAAAAATCAAGCACCTTCTGCTTCTCTCTTTATAAATAAAGCTCGTCCATAACTTAGCTTGTAATAAGAATATTTACAACATCGTTTGTTTTGCTTTTATCTTCGTAGACAAAACTGATTACACGTCACAAGTGTAAAAGAGAGCTTTCGGAAAAGGAATTCGAAAATTATGCAAAAACACCGCCGCCGCCTGGCTTCGGCCCTCTGTATTATTATAATGATAGCGCCTCCGCTGGGGCAGTTTCTTAAATTTTATAAACGTGACCGACCGTTTCAATTTAAAACGAGTACGTAGTATTTATAAAGGACGGCCTTTGTTATTTTTTTTCTTAAATTTCGTTTTATGAAAAGAACAAAGTAATCCTGTTACGAGACACTTTTGATGTTACCATACCAATTTATCCCGTTCTGTTTAGGCATCCTTAAAAAAGAGTCGCAGGGATGAGGGCTAATGCGATTCGGTTTGCTTGTTTAACATCAAACGGCGACTTTTTGGATAAATTCTTCCGTTGATTCTTTTGGCCCAATTTCTGTATTAAGAGCGCTTCTATTAATTGAAAATTTCGACTTTTACCATACGTTAGAAAAAAAGGTCTGGTGTGAAATATTAAAAGCGTAAGCACCTGTTCTTTCTTACGTTTACACGATATTTATTGTAGGTGCGGTGTCGCCCCCTTGACAGAAAAAAGCTTTTAAAGAAAAAAGTTTAAAAATGTAAAGTTCGCGTAGACGGTGAATCGATCCGCAAATATATAAGCACCAATCTTAGTAAATAGGCAATAAGCGTATAGACAATACGGTTTAACTTGGAGCCAAAGACGAAGCTAATCTCGGAGACAATAAAGTTTGGATTCAATTCATGAATAGAAATAAAAACCAATGGGTCGGATAGTTTCATTCTTCTTCTTGGCTAAGGTCGCTATTGTTTTTTTCAGGGATGAAGCTCTTAACGTTAGGGATTACTTGTAGTCGAATGCATGAAATCATCAAAATTCTCATTCGATTATTGCTAGTTTCGCGCAAAACGCGCAAATAAAATAACGAAATTCGTATAAAAATGCACACAGGCCGGGTTAAGTTAAAAATATGGGAAAATACCGAAACGCAAATCCCAGAATAATTTAATAGTTCAGTTATAAAAGGTATAAAAGAGTGTAGCAAGCGGGCTTACATAAAATTATGGCAAAAAGCGATTTTAATAAAGAATGATTTATTCACTGGAAAACAACGCCTCGAATTTTTAAGAGGAAATATAGAATATTAGTTTCCCTAAAAAGAGATCATTTATCGATGTCGAAAAAATTTATGTTTATCCCATGTATTGTATAAATTAATTCCAAAATACTATCCAGGGATTACCCCTTTTCATTCTAGTTTCTAGTTCAAGAATAAAAATCGGTGACTAGGTAGTCATACTAAAACTAAAATAATGCGGGGTTAAATTGAAAATGTGCTTTACATTTGGTCCATCGATTTTGAGTTTGTACAGTAGCAATACACGTAAGCACTTTCCATACAAATTATTTAGTCGTCGCTACTTCCAATTTTGGACTTTTGGAAACGTAACGTTTTGTTAAGTAATTGTTACTGCCACTCTAACCCAATTTTCTTTACTGAACGAATTTCTATTGCATTGTTTTTTTACGATGCACTACGTGAACTTTCCTTCATGTTAGTCCATAATCTCAAATGAAATTTCGCGTATTTTTTCTTCGATATGGTTCCTTCTTACATCACCATTACGAACTTTACTTAAATTTGCGCCGTTTCTTTTGTGAACTCAAAACTCGATTCTCCTTTGATTGACAAACGATTTTTTTTTGTTAATTTCCAATACGGATTTCCTGACCTAACTTCACCAATCTTCCACACGAACCTAAAAAATCGTTGTTACTTTGACGTGATCTTTACGACGGTTCAAGACCGATTAATTCATTCCTCCCTGTTTGAACCCGCTAGTGCCTTACACTTTTGCAAAATTAACAGCTTTTTTTCCAAGAAATAACTAAGCGCAAGGCCAAGATTTGAGAACAATTTGCGCAATGTAAATTTCCCTATGGCCCATTTTAAATAACTCAACGCCTTTACATTGTCGTATGGCCCATTTAAAAAAAACACCCTGTATATCTCCGTCCCTAAAGTTCTTAATTGCACTGCTCCAACAGGTACATGTACACTCCTCGTCTTTCTACAAGCGTTCTTCTACGGACGCACATTTGGTCCAGCCAAAGTGAGATTAAAAGCTACCTTTTAACAAGAAATTTGAAAAAATGCGCTAAAACCAAAATTGCAAAAACACGTCGATTTAGGTGTCTTACTTTCCACCCTACGTCCCAGCTACTACTACTTTACAGTAAAGGAGGACACTTCGTATGTTCATACCTCCCCAGACCCTCCTGTACTACGATTTTCCGCAAAAGCGCTTAGTATAAGAGGACTCGATAATTCTTTCTCTATTACCTCTAACAATCATGTTAGCATTTGAGAAAGTCATCAAATATTTGTATGCTAGTTAGGGAATATTCCAGACCCCCCAGACCCCCGGTATTGCTTTTGCCCCCAACAGCAGTCAGACTCTTATACTTTTTAAAAAATGTCAAACGAGCCATTTTTCCCTATGTATGAATATACAAATACCAATGTCTTTGAGGAAGTACGTATAACTGAGGGGGAGGGGTCTGGGAAGTATATTATAATCCCCCCCCCCCTCCCAAGCAGTACCCTTAGCAAATGAGGACATGATACTTCTTTCTCTATTACCCCGAACAACCTCATGTTAACTTTTGAGAAAAAAAATGTTCCTATGCTGGCTGGGGAGTTTTCTATACCTCCAGCCCCCCCCCGGCATTACTTTTTTCTCCATGAAGGAACATCAGATTCCCTTTAATAGATATTTTAGAAACGGACAGACCCAGCCATTTTTTGAGGAACGAATGTATAACAAGGGTTCTGGGGAGTATGTATACCCCCTCCAGCACGAGAGGACTCGATATTCTTTCTCTGTTACTCCTAACAACCTCATGTTAGCTTTTGAGGAATTGGCAATCAAATTTCGTATGCTGGCAAAATTCTTGAAAAACCCATTTAATACTTATAGAATTATCTAAGGTTTTTTTTTAGAGGCTCTCGATCCGGCATGAAGACTTCTACATCTTTTTTAGCGCATTTTTGCAAATTTATTTGTAAAAAGTAGCTTTTAATCTCACTTTGGCTGGCTGGCTGGCTGGCTGGCAGCAAATGTGGGCGCGTAGAAGAACTCTTGTAGAAAGGCAACGGGTGTACGTGTATCTACAAGCCGTGTAATTTGTCAACCTTAGGGACAGGGCTACATGATGTGGGGTTGGCGACATCTGGGCGTCATCCTCGAGCGTAGTATACTAACGTGAAGGTTTTTCAGTTTTTTCCTATCTTCTACTACAGTTTTGGTCCGATTCTTTTCAAATTGGTGTCGTCGGAAAGATGTTGTAAACGCGCACAACTCCTGCGTGGCGGAATTTTGTTTTTTGTCCTAGGGGCGAAATTAACGACCTTTTGCAAGGCGCGCGCGCGCGTGTCTTCGAGAGGTAGTCAACTTCGGGCACCTTTTACCTTCCGTT